TTCTTCCCTTCCCCTCCTCTTTAAAAAAAAAGCCGATGCTGCGGCTCCTTTACCAGCAAACCCCTAATCAAATCCCTAGCCGAGAAGCTCACGATCGGAGAATCCGGAAACCGCAATGGCTGGCCGACCACGTTGAACAATGTAGCTCGGTTTCCCGATCCTTTGAACGGAGTCTTGCCGAACAAAAGCTCGTATAAGAAGATGCCGAAGGTCCACCAATCCACCGCGCTTCCATGCCCCTCGCCCTTGATGATCTCCGGAGCCAAATACTCGTGGGTGCCGACAAACGACATGGATCTCGCGTCGGTTGGCTCTGCGATGAGCTCCGGCAGCGGGGTGACTTGATTTGCGATATCCGGCTTCGGTTTCCGGTCCTTCTTAGATTTGGAGGAGAAGAGACGGGGGCCGAAGCAGGTTGTGGGAGCGACACAAGAAGGCTGGATGCATGAGGGTTCGATGCAGGCTGGTTGGACGCAGTAAACCGGATTGTTGTTTCTCGGGAGCTCGGAATCGGGGTTGGAAGATTTGATGAGGGTTGGGTTGACGGCACACCGGAGGGAGAGATCGAAGTCTGAGAGCATGATGTGGCCGTCTTCACGAACGAGAACATTTTCGGGCTTGAGGTCACGGTAGATGATGCCCAACATGTGTAGGTATTCGAGAGCAAGGAGGACCTCTGCCACATAGAATCTGCAATACACAAGTAATTAGTGAATTTTGTTTCATTCTCATCAATAAATGGTTTATTTTGCTTGAGAGCAGTAGCATATAGTAGTATAAAGATGCTATGTGAAGAAGAAGATGACATATAAGTGATGCATTATAATAGATTTATATTTATGATATTGCAAGAAATCATGAGTTCATATATGAAAAACTAAGTAATCTACCAGAATTATAAGGTTATGTTTCTTTCAGTTGGATTCGTACATTGGAATTCTTTAGACTTCTTCATGAAGTACGAAAAAGAAGCTTGCCATGCCTGTCTGGAAAGTAGGAGACAGAATCACGAGCACTCATATATATTGAATTTAGAAAGTACACGCATACTTCTTTTTTTTTTTTTTTTATCGACTAGCACGAAGAAATATATCTATATATATATATATATATATATATATATGTGAGAGTCACGCCCAATCAATTTCATTAATAAGTTAAAATAGATTACAATGAGGAGAAGATTATGGGTGGTTAAGCAAGGAAAGGAAAAAAAGGGATATATTGCATATATTGAATCCAATATATCATTTCATATTGCCAATGTGTTTACAAGGCACCGGCTTTTAGGAATTAAAATATTTTTGAACAAGGAATGATTTTATGACAATTTTTTACTCCAAAACCAATGCCAAAACCATGAAAATGTATCTTCATTTACACAAAAAAGCGAGTTAAGTAGGACGAAAATGTAAAAAATGTATAAAAGATTTCACATACCGTATAGTTGCCAATCACAAAATTTGTAAATTTGTAATGGATATCATTTGTCAAGCAGTATTAAGCAAGTCATTTCAAGTACTACTAATGTAGTAACAAAAGTACGCCCAGAATGCCCCTAAAAACTGAATAAGAAGTTTTCAAATATCTCAAAAGAAGTTGTGTTAGAAAAGAGATGCAAAACAATCTTTAAAGCAAGCATAACAAAGCTGTAACATCTTCTTTACATGTCAGCTTGCGTGCTGAATATTTTTAACATTTTGAAACAATCTCTAAACATAACATATTTTAAACATAAATGGCAAGTGAAGATCAGCACTACTTCCGAAAATTAACTTAGGACTAACTATATAATATAAAAAAGGGTATGAGATATAGAACATACTTCACAGCTTGCTCTGTAAAATGCTTTCCAGGCTGCCTCTGCCGGAGAGTGTGCAGATCCCCTCCAGGACAGAATTCCATCACCAAGCATGAGAACTTATCGGTCTCGAAATGCGTGTATAATGTTGGAAGAAAAGGATGATCCAAAGATTGCAGTATTTCCCTCTCTGTTTGAGCCCTCAGCAGCTTCTTGCGACTAGCTAGAGACCCCTTATCCATAACCTTCATGGCAAAATAACACTTTGTACCGCTCAATTCTGAAAGATACACGCTACCAATATCACCACATCCCAATCTCTTTAAAAGCCTAAAATGGCTTAAACCTAGACCTCCATCTCTCATCCTTACAACCTGAATGGCTTCCCATCTCGAATCATTTGCTTTATGAGGCTTGTTGATGCTGCTACTTAAACTGCTACATGAGCTCTCATCGCTCACATCACTACTAGTGCTGGGCTTGCACACGCTACTCTTGCCGCTCTCAACAAAGTCAGCTCGGTCGCTTATCTTCGCACTTTCGCTAGTTTTTGTAAAGCTGATTGTTCCATCACTGATTTTTGCAGACGACGAACTATTCTTTTCGCTGCTGTGCTCGCCGGCTTTCTTTTCCTGATCTTCGTTTCCATCTAAACATTGAAGAATTTCTGACGTGTTTGCTTGATGAGATAAGAGTTTTAGATTTTTAAGAGGAGAATGCAAGTTATTGGGTTCGGAACAACGCATAGTCTTCGATGGAATGTAATGATTTGGTTTTTGATCAGCTGTACCTGTAGATTTTGGCAACCTTATTGGTGTATCCAGTTCTGATTTTAGGGACTTATAATTTTGCAAAGGCGACTCTAGTGTCTGATCATCAGCTGTTTTCAGAAGCTGCTCTGTGAGTGCTTTAGCAGTAGCCATTGAAGCCATGGAATTGGAAAATGACTTTAGATACTGATTAAACCCTTCCAGACAACACGAACATTAATTGTTCCAAACGAACAAATCTTCATTCCGTTTCACCAGCAATACTCCAATCGTATCTTTCTTTTTACTTGCAGATTTATAGCTTGATGAAATATTTGCCATCATATTGAAGTTTATAGGATCGGAATCATATATGTGAAATTATAGAACAGCCTGTCATTTAATTGAAAGATTAAAGTAGGCTAAGAATTTGCATAACCAGTGCATGAAGCTCCAACCAATGAAAGTCAGAATCGCTGATGAATGCAATATTACATAAAACTGAAAGATTGTTTTTATGACTCAAAACTTATTACCTCAAGTCAATACATAAACACCAAAGCAATGCTTTAGACCCAGCCTTAAATTAAAGGAAGATTTACATACATACCATTTAACTCATATGCATTTACATATCTTATATGCATGAAAAGGATGAAAAGGAGATATCACTTTTCAAAGTTACATTAGTGGTATTTTTAAAGTGATATGAAAGATTGCTGTAGCATAAGTGCAAAAAGTAAAGTTTAGGTGTTAGATATGCAAATACATTGGAATTGGGTGGCATTTATGTTAAAACAACATATATTCTAATAAGACCAGCTTATACGATATAGAATTATCACCTATACTTGAAAAAGGAAACATAGAGAAGAAGTAACCAAGCAATTGAAGTAAATAAAAAATTGAATACAGTAAGTTCAAGATTCAAAGCAATGCAAATAGAAACTCTCCATTCAGATCAGTACATAAAGTAAGCTTTGTTCTGTAAAAAAAATAAAAATGAATTACATGCTAGAGGTTCAGCAATTAAATGACGTTATGATTCTCCATAAAACTTCTAATTCTAGAATCTAAGCCAAGGTGTTCCATTGCTGTACCGTGAAACACTTGCCAAATAAGAACACAGAGAAGAAGGGAGAAACTCAAGTAAACTAACAATGAGTTCGTTTACTAGTCTAGAATTAGTATTAAGGAGTTTCAGACATAATTTAAAAGTGAGATTAGGAGAAATAAGAGAACCAAGAGGAGATTGAGGGATGCCAAGCCCCATCAGAGAAAAAATGCACAATTTTTGCAGTAATAACTGTCATAAATTTAGTGTAATGCATCCCCATCTTAAAAAAAACGATCTTGCAAACAAAATCGAACACCAACAAATAGCAAAATACAATGAAAACCTAGAATCAAGCGCAGAAGAACATGCAGTACACATCAAATTATAAACCTTTAAGCAGAAAAACTCTGCAAAACCAAAAAAATTGCTGAACAAAGGAGCTCTGCAACATCAGCTGCTGATGGAGAAAAATCAGAATCAATCAGCAACGCAGTTATACAATACCTTTACCAATGAATTTTCCCCAAGCGAACCACTAAATAAGCCGCTCAGATCTCAAATCACAACTTATAGCCACAAAACACCCAGATCAATTTCAACACAAACACTGACCAAAAAAATCCCAATTTCTCAAAACTGAAAAAAGGAAAGGGACGCACCAAAGGGGGAGCAAAACCAAAGCGTAATGAAAAAGCTCGAGATATGTGGAAGTGAAAGGCAAATTGATACCTTGTTCGCAAAGATCTCCACTGTAGCTGTTGCAGAATACTTCATCTTTCACTTCCAGGAGAAAATATTGCATCCATGGTGCAAAAGGGCAAGAGAAGGGAAGTGAAGAGAAACGGTAACGAGTAAAGGAAAAATAAAACGCAAGAGTGCTGCTTATTTACATAAGAGAGAGGTCAAAGCTGGCAGTTTTTCTCATTAAATTTCATTATTAATTTACCCTAACTATTCACGGCGCCTCTTTCCTTTTCTTTTTTTTTTTTTTTTTTTTTTTTTTTTTTTTTTTTTTTTTTTTTTTTTTTTTTGTTATAATTGTTTCTACTCCGTGTCCGGAAAAATATTTACGTACATAAGACATACATAGAATTGTATATATATTAAGTTATTCGGAGGGTACATATATGTTACACTTAGGTTACAGGAAGAATTACAAAGAGTATAACCTAAGTGTAACATATATCTACCCTCCTAATAATCTAATACGTACGCAGCTATGCGTACGTCCTCCGAGTCGTTAATTTGTTTTCCAATAATTTATCTCCCACCAAAAATTTTTAAGAAAATACTTCAAATTGTGAAAAAGACTTTAATAAATTCTAGTTGGTAAAAAAAAAAAAATTTAATTTTGTTAAGTCAAACCTTGGCGGAAGACTCTTTTAACATTAACATTTTTATTTAATTTTATTGATTTATTTTATGTGATATTTTTATGGGATAAAGATGATATTTTCGGTTATTAGGATTCATAAAATAATTTCACACGCAAGGAGATATATTTGAATTCAAGTATAACATAATATATTTATAATATTAATATTATTAAGAATATTAACATATATACCACATAATTTCTAGGTATATATACATCTAACACCTAAATTTTAATTAGTACATCTATATCCTTCTAATCATGCATGAGAAAGATATATTTCACCTTTTAATGATATTTTGATGTGATTGAAGAATGGTGGCATTTACATACATACCACTTAATTCCTATGTATTTATATATCTAAAACGTAAATTTTACATTTACATTTATACCACCTAAATCTTTTATATCACATCAAAAATATTCGTACTATCGTGCATAAATAAGATGGTATATTTATAAAGATTGAAGTTTAGATGTTAACCATATGAATACATATGAATTGAGTGGTATGTATGTAAATCTTCCTAAAATATGGGGCATTTACATATGTACCATCTATTTTTTTTATCTATTTATAAAAATCTACCCCCATAAATTTTATTTTTTTATATTTATATCATCCAAATCTTCCCAAATTATGCCATTTATAAATGCCCAAAAAAAAAAAAATCTCACATAAAAAACAAAAGTCAAATCGCACAAAATACGAAGGATATCCGCTTCCTGCAACCCAAATGCATGTTTAAAGTTTAAATGCTCTCGTGATAAACCATAAACAGAGCGCTAATAATTTAAGCTAAATACATGGCTTTAAAAATTAGATTGATGTTGATTTAATTTTTCTATTTTATTATTATTAGAAAATTTGAATATTGAAGCACCAATTTGATGTAAAAAAAAATTAATCATTTAAATTTGATAATAATTTTCAAAAAATTTGATCACTCCAATCTATCAATCTATTATTTAAAAATTAAGAGAAACGATAAATTAATTAAATCATTAATTTGAAACTGAATTTTTCAACCCAACATATATATATATTCCGAGTTAATATCTACCAACTGAACTCCAACTCTTCTATAATCTTTTCCATATCATTCAAAAACTTTTGCTTCATAAGCCTAAGATTCTAAATTCAACTATGGAGAGAGAGAGGGTGCATTTGAGACAACAATGCACGTTCACGCTACTTCACGCTACACTTTGTAGTGTTTGATAAATTTGTCAAAGCTTGACTTTGCTAAGAATTTGTTTGGGTAGCTAAAGCTTATTAATAAGTAGTTGCAGCTTAGCTGCCTCAGAAAGTTGTTGCGGAAAGCTGTTGTAGGGAAGCTGTTGCGGTTAAGCTGGTTGGTTGTTTGTTTTCTGCGGTTTGGAAACAGCTGTGCGACAGCTGTTCTGGACAAATGATTATTCTGTCCATGTGTAGTAATGTTATTTATAACAGAATTGTCATAGTCATATATTTGATAATTTAGAAGCAAAAAATCAATTCATAACGGTACAAAAATCTAGATAAACGCTCACTTAATAGTGAGTATCAAGAATGTTAAAGAAATTATATGTATTGACAATATCTAATAGCTAAATTTCATTTTTTATATAGAATTTACGAACAGAAACATCAAGCCACTAAGAAATTACCGCATGACCACGGCACACTCCACGATAAACACATAGACCACACAAACCACCACCCAACCAAGCCAACAAATCACCAAAGCAACAACAAAACAATTTTGGGCATTTACATTCATATCACCGAACTCTCATGTATTTTACATATCTCACACCTAAACTTTCATATATAGAGAAATAGCACAGACTACTTTCACATTAACTTCAAAATTTTGGTACTTTGATGGAAAACCTACATGGAGCTTTTCTATCTATTGGTATTGTTGAACAACGTTATGACACGAATTTATACTGGCCTGAACATTATATTGTCTATCTTTAAGAAAGTTGATAACAAATCTTGGATGGACAATATGTCAATAATAAGCATTCACTAGCATACCACCAAATTCTTATGTATTTACATATCCAAATCAAAACGTCCAAATAACAAGCATTCACATGGATACTTGCCTCCAAAGAACTCACCCAAATCTTTCATTTCACGGTTCCTCAAATTCTTGTTCAAAAAAACTGAAATAAATCATTGCTTACTGTTGAAACGACGGGAACCAGGTAAAGGGATGTGCGGCAAAGCTCTACTCGAAGCCGAAGGGAGAAGGAGAAGAGGAAGCGAGAGATCGCAGGGAATGTGTCAGATCGCATAGCGGGTCGCAGGTTAGGGCAGACGAGTTCGGCTTCGATGCTCTGAATCATGACACAAATGAGGGCATTGACGTAAAAAATTACATGAGAAACCGCAGCCCACATTTTAGGCTAAACGCATTGCGTCATGAGTAGAATGCCGCCCCAAACAATCTAAATTCATGGCTTCCTGCATCCCCGCCACCCCAAACAGGGCCTAAATGCGGTGACTGCTCTACAATTTAACATTTAAAAAAATTTATAATAATCATCGCAATTTTGAAAAAGTAATTCTCTATAACAACTTCACGTTTACTTCTTCTAATAGTTCCAACTAAGCCAAAAAGACCTTAGTGGTGCGGCATAAATGCTTGGTGAATACAAGGTTCTTATGGGTCCCAAGCTGACAATTTGCCACTATGCTTGCTTATGCTTCAAACCTGTCAATTTATTTGGGCCATTCCCAACCATCTCTTTTCCAACATTGTGATAATGTTTCGCTATCATTCCACAAACATATAAACTAAGTGAAATAAATAATGTGCATATGCCCAGAACCTTATTCCCTGGCACCTCATTATAATTATACAAATTTCCTAGCCATATATTTCAAAAATACATTCATC